AAAATTACCGAAGACGCAACAAATTGCAACAGAATATTTTGTTAACGATTGTCGTCTTCATTTATCCTTTTTTACTTTTTTCTTCCCGTCGGTTTTGAATTCTGAAACCTCAACAATATTGACGAAATTTCTTCTTGGTCTTGAACGCAAGTCGATCAGTATCACAGGAGGAGTTAATGGTTTTGTCGGCAAGACTGAAACAAGAAAGATATTAATTAACAGGGAAAATATAATTAAGAGAAGTTTTCCCTTCATGGTTAAGACTTAAAAGCTATTTAGGATTGGGATTTGGTCACAAATTTGATCCCAAAAAGTATAAATTGAGGCTTAATTTTCTCAAAAAAAAAGCTTTGAGCTCTCTCCACCTGTATGATCCTCGTGTAAAGAAACTGATGGCTAAGATTTGCGTTGATCAGAATAATGATGTCTGATAGAGGACTGAGTCAACGACAGCTGATTTGTACCATTTGGTCAAGAGGTAGCAAAAACATAATACCAATCATCATCGTCATTAGCTTACTGATTTTCGCTATATTTATCACTGCCGATATCAGTATTATCCTCATAATTTTCATCATCATTATTAATATTATTATTATTATTATTATTATCATTAGTTTTACTTGAGGGAGCAATGGTTGTTGAGCAGTAAATTACCAATATTGGGAGAAGCATGTTTTAAGTTATTTCCCCATATTCCATTGTAATCCTTATGTGTTCTTCGCATAATTCACCCACGGGAACAATAAACTTTACAGTCAATGGTGCTTCGGCCCCAGGCGTCTGCATAAAAGGCTGACTCATCCACCGTATCTGATGCACAGTTATCACCTAAAAAGTAGGAGATTGCAAATAATGTGAGATAACTCATACGTATACAGTAGCAGTAATAACATTACTATGAAAAAACTGTAAGGACGAAAATGAAAACAGCGAAATAGGTGATGTTCTGGCCTCCTTTACCGCTGGAAGAAAATATGATCAGGGACATACATTACCGTGTGAAATAGATTTCTCCCTATTGAGGTAAGATATTGAGATAAAAAGCAATCTTTTCCGTGGCCAGATTGCATGGTGAGAAAGCACAAATTTATCTCACGAAGAAAGATCCAGAGCTGTGAAACGCTTTTGACATAGCAAGAACATTGGAGACAGAATCTTGATTTATTTCATAAAATAATCTCAGAAAAAATATTGGCTGATTCCTTCAAATACCCTAAAATTAAAAGTTACATCTCATCAGGATATATTTTTTTCCTGAAACAAATAAAAATTCACATGACTTTCGCTCAGAAACAAGTTTAGAAACTCGATAATCTATCTGAACAGTAAATTGTAATAAATCGACATAACTTGAGGGCAAGGGGAATGAACTGTTAGATTAGTTTTTTATTTTCTTTTCATGGCAATTTATTTAAATGCAGGGAAATGCGATGTACTTATATTTTGATAGGGTGATACTTCAGATTATGTGTAATCATAATCATCAGAGACGCTTTAATAAGCGCTGACGTCTTTGGCTAAAAAGTCAAAGAAATATTTTTGAGTCGTTTCTGAACTGGTATTACCCTTCAGTTTATTATCCAGCACACAATAATTATTACTCAAATTAGGATTAATATAGATATCCCTCCCATTTTCATTAACATTCAAATAAAAGAGGCTAAAGTTATTTTACCTGAGTTAATCCTTCGGTGGCCAAGATGTGCGTTGAAACCACCATTTCATCTGCAAAACGATGTCGCCTTACTAAGAAGAATATGGCTGTATTGATTCCCTGGAACGGATGTTGCATAGATAAGCATTCTTGATGGTGCTTGGCCTTTGATCCCGTGACTACTTGCGCCTAATTCTTAATTTGCATCCAAATTGTTGACTGGCTCCCTCTTTTGAAACACACTTTTAAATTGGCTCCGTATGGAGTTTTCATTTTGTACTTCGTATGGGTTCTCCAGCCACTTTTACCATATGAAGCTAAAAAAATGTAGTGCATGCAACATATTTTTTTGCCAGCTAAATCTCACTTTCCTAATAATTATTTTAATAACACTACTTAGAGAAATAAACGGACCAATAACTTACTCCAGGCAACCCTCATTTCGTGTTTTAAACAAAGAAATTAATTGATTTTTGCAACCTTCTTTCTGTGCGTCATCGATTTATTCAGAGTAAAGTGAACTACAGAAGAAATCGATAAACATTCGCCGGGACCAAAAATTTCGTCAGATAGTGTGATGTGACCCAATTAGGAAACTGGGACGGTAAGTGTTTATAGGTGGTGTAAAGGGTCATACTGTGTACCGCCATAACCTCTTCACAAACATGTCTATTTAATAGCTCTATAGGCTTTGCTTAAGCAAAGTAGCTAGAAGAACTGCCTCAAAGTGCCTAAAGCTAGTAAAGCCCCTCAATGCCTAGAGTGGTCGTTGCATCAAATCTGCCATATATTAAGCGAGTACGTATGATTATCGCAAATACCTTCGCTCCCAAGATATATTTCCTTGGTTTTAAAGCAAATGAAGTGGGATTACACGGACTGATAAAAAGCGTCCCAAAAATCGATCACCTTAATCGCCGTCAATGGCTAATTACGCGGGCTGTTCTGCGGTTACACCATGCAATACTAGGAATCATATTTCTCATTGCCTCTTCCCGGTCCCGTGTTTTGAGTCCAAAGTACAAAATGTTAATTTAAAGGTCTTTCCGAAACAGAGACTCGACACAATTCAGAAAGTACGAGAGCTTAACAAAATTAAGTGCTGCCTCTTAATTCACAAGGACTATAACAGAACTTGCAAGAATTGTGGGATCATTTTTACAACGAAATCACCACCTGCCGCCATCGTCGATATCAGCACCTGTCAGAACAACAGAGTTTCTACTTTTCCTTTATCTTGCTCGATCTCTTGCTCAAGATCAGAGACGAATTTTTTTGTTGAATACATAGAGCGTAAAGGATGGGAAAACTTTTGATAGATATATTGATTACATGTGTCTCTGCGACCACAAGCGCCTCGAGGACTTGATCGAGATCTTGACGAATGGGTTTTCATTCCAGCGAAGGCGAAAAAGTCACGCTAGAATGTAAACAGTACGGAAGTATCCAGAATCACGATCTCATCTGCTGAGACTTTCTCGCCTAATTAGGTATCAGTCATGAGATGTTCATGTAAATCTCGGGGGTGCCCTTGAATTAACTTAGGGCTAGGATAATACGCTTTTCATGAATGGGTGACAAGCCATAAAAGAAAAAGTGAAGAACCAATCAAGGTAAACGTACCATTACTGATGTAAAAAAACTTAAGTAAATCCTCTGTTCGTACAACTGACAGATCTCGATTTTACTCGGTGAGATTTGACGTTTCCTTCACCTCTTCGAATTTCTGTGGTTCGTAGTAGGATTCGTCGTACAGAAATATGCAAAATGGATTTCCAAAGAACATCGCACTTAAGGGATTCTTTCTAGCAGTCATTTTGGTGGAGATTTCGAACTCATTGAAAAACCATGATGCGCTCAGAGAGAGTGGTGAGAATTTCGTTACGTCTATCGTTGTTTGATTTTATTCAAGAAAAATTCTTAATTCTTTGGGAAAATTCACAATTCAGCCTTTAAACCTTAGATTAACTATACTATTTAATTCTTCCTTCGCTCATGTACAGCTGGATAGCGCTGACACTAATGACGCAATACGAAAACGACCGCGCAGTGATCTATCGTCTTTTCATCCGAAGGTGAGCACAATCAATAACCTGTTATGCCTTTTCATTTTTTTAATTGTCGTTAAAAAGAATGAAGCACTTTTTCGACGTGGGCCAGTTTAAATTGCGTAAATTCGGTGAGTAGGTCAGCCATCATCAGTAATTAAAGGGGAAAAGCGCTGCGTAATCACATTTATGCGATTAGCTCATGGTTTGCTAAGATGGAAAAAAATTCTGATTGCAGATGAAGTTTCATTTTGAAGAAGTCCATAGTAAGACTTGGCTTATTCATCTTACAAGGGATGATAACATTTTATTTAATCCTATTTCATCTTATTTCATCTTAGATGATGTGTACAACAACTACGTCAAAAGCGGTTTTAACAGTTTCATGCGTACACAATTAGAATTTTGCAAATTCTACTTTGATGTAAACCTTGATCTCTTTTTTCTTATCTCGCAATTTGCAGCAAACTAGCTCGACGAATGCGAGATTCCTTCTCAATATATGTAATCAAACGGTAGATTTATTCCATCGAAACGATATTTCTGACACCGGCTTATGAAAGTATTGCGTCACCCTTGTTTAGGTTCGAATAGCTTTACGTCTTTAAAGGAATTTAAAAAATATTCACCGTCCGAAATTTGGCAGAAAAAAAGATCAGTCATGTAATTGACTTAAGTAAAACCTTAGCACATAACTATACTAAGGCATTACTAATCATTAATTGTAATTTATTTTCACAGTTATTTGGGATCATAGCCGTGGTTGTCTTTAGCTTTCCCGTGGTTTCTGCTAAGGTTGGATTATATTTACTGTATATGCATAATTATTACATACCTTATAGATACTTAATTTCGCGTTTTTCGCGATTGTCAAAAGATCGCTAAATTATTGCTCGCGAAATTTAAACACGCAAAATTAAATTAGTATATTTGACTAGAATTCAGATCAGAGAAGAAAATGATGTACATGTCATAACAACACTTATTCCCTGTTATTTCGGAATTTTAAAAAGTTCAGACTTTTTGACAGATAAAATGAAGTCGAGAACGCTTGAATCGCAAAATTTAATGCTCTATTATGATATCGCCAAAATAAAACCCCACAAAATTTTGTCTCGCAAAACGAATGAGTTGTTATTTTTTTAGCTAATATTACATTCTTTTAATCAACACTTATTAAACGAGAAAAATCTCTCATGCTTTGGGTATAGTTCCCTCTAAATATATATAAAAAACAAATATTCAAATCTAGTCCATATGTCCAGAATTTAACAACCGCTCTTTTAGATACAAGAATATTCCTCATTCTAAGCTAGACCAAACAATAGATAACAATTCCACCCGTATACATTCAACATCAAGAAAGGTACTAAGAGCAGCACATACTACAGTATATTATTAGGAAGGAAATAATAATATTATGTTTCCCTGCCCATTTTATTTCAATAAACTATACTTTTGAAACTAATTTTAGTACTCGATAAATGTAGGCAAGTGAAAATTTCAGAAATGTCTATGTAAAGCCTCTTCTATGCAGAGTTTTGGTAACTGCCATCATGGTAAATGCCATCATGTGTGACTGAAAGCCATAAAATTACGGTGAATCTTGAAATAACTACCAGGTTTTCTTTACAATGAGATTCTTCGGAAGGGTATGTTGGGAGTCACTCTTACCTATTCTACTCGATTAACGATTTACGATTTACGATTTCATAAGAAATAAATGAGGATAAGAAGATCTTAAATCAAACATTATTTAGCACTCTCAAACAGGTTAGTAAATATTTCCCATAACAAAAGAGAACACGTAATGTTCCCAACGTATAAATGGTGATTTGAAGAACATCGCGTCTCTTTTCATGTATGTTACAAACAGAAGAAAACACGAGCGAGGCCTCATTGAAGATCGTTTATCTCAATTCTATGGCTGAATTTCGAGCTACTTTTTGAAATGATTTAAAACCTGATGGTGGCCCTCCAATCCTCAACAACCCAAGCTCTGAAAATTTCACAGAGGATCCGCCATTTTGAATTTGAGTGTGGATTAGGTCCTTCGTTCGTATAAGGAACATTTAATTATCCAAACAAAATATCGCCTGGTGATTGGGTAAATATATAAAGGATAGAAAGTAACACAGATTTAGCGAACTCATTTTTTTCTTGAGGTTACTGGAAAGACCTTCAACCTAGAAAAAATTTTTGTTTGCGGCATGTGGTCGAGGAAATGCAGGCGTGAAGCGAGCGTGAAGGGCTAGTCACTCCCGTGAGTCCGTGACGCCTGTTTTGCAATGCGTCTTTGTCATCCTGGATTTCTTATTATATTCTGCGACAATTAGATTGGGCTTACATGACCTAAAAGATGAGCCGACTGTTGCTCAAAATGGCGAAGCTAAGTCGGGCCAACTTCTTGCGGGTTTTGATACTTTCACCGCCGTTACGACACAAAATGCAAATATTTTGTGTAGTAATCTTTCTGACAGTTAGAATGGACAGGACTGCCACTCATTTATTGTTACTCTTTTTTATACGTTTTCTTTTTCCTAGCCGACGCCAAGCCAGACAAATCCTTGCAAACCAACCGAATACTGGGTTGAAAAGGAAGATGGCTCACAAGAGTGTATAGCATGCGGAACTTGCCCAGAAGGACAAGGTCTCTCAACGGAATGTGGGAGTTCTGAACTGCTGCCTTCTAATACCATGGTGAAGTGTTTGGCATGCACCAAAGGAGTTTCATTTTCCAGATATGAAGATTCGTCCATTTGCCTTCCTTGTGCATCATGCTCTAAAGGTCAGGTGGTAGAACAAAGGTGCTCTCCCAAGTGGGATGTCAAGTGCGCAAATAAATGTTCCAGCAAGGACAGGTACAATTATTATTACAATTATTCATTAATTGTCCCAGAATTGATCATTGCAAGCGTTTTAATTGTTAGGTGAATATACTCGGAGTCTTTGGTGATTATTTTGTACGTGCAGTGTGTAGTTCTAATACTGGAACAGGCATAAACTGTGGGAATCGTTAAAGATAACTTACCACCAATACTGATATCTCTAAGCCATCATAATATTTACAGAAAATTTTATGTTAGTTCAGTGGCGTGCCAGCGATTATATAAAAGTTATCACTATTTCACTGGTTAGGTATTATGATATGGACAAGGGGGACTGTTTTAAGTGCTCAAGATGCTGTGGCGATGATAGAGATGTGGTGGTAAAAGAGTGCAAAGAGAAGTTGGGAGATGGCTCAAACATGGTTTGTTCATTCGACAGCAGTGTGAACCGCTGTGGCAAAACAACGCCTCAACCAACAACTATCATTAGCCATGTCGACCCCAAACACGATGGTCCTTATACCACTCAAAAAAGTGATCATTCCACTAAAGCGAACAATCGGACAACAACTGTTATTCTTGTGGTGATAATAGTTGTTTTCGCTTTTTGTGTTTGTTCATGCGTTTTCAAGAAGAGACTGGCACAGATGTTGAGTTGCTGTTATCGTACTGTTGAAGTGGAAGACCATCATGATTTATCAGTCATGGAGGACGGATCATCGACTGACGGAAAGGGTGGTAAGACTGTGTAGCTTTCCTTTGAGTTCGTTCTAATAGTGTCCATTATTCAAATATTGACCTGGATGAAACTCATGAAAAATAATGTTGGAAAGTCTGGCCACTAAGATGTACCCAATTGAACCAACAAAGCTCTCAGTATCTCCATAGAATTCTCCTCTCAAAAGTGATCTTTTAGGGTGTAGTTTCATTTAAGACGTCGTCGGTTGATAGCCTAACAATATTCAAATGTAAGCATACTTCATATAGCAACATAGGAAAAGTAAGCATTCGGGAACAACATTTCTCTTTATCTCTTTTGCTAACTACAACAGTCCTCGAGATGCAGGTTGATTAAATTCCACTCACTTTTGTAGGTGATTAACCCTCTCTTGTCAAACTCATTAATCAAACCGACTCTGTGACATGCCCCAGACTTTGCGTTGGCAGATACTGATTCTGTTACATTCATTCATGTCTGAAATGCTTCCTCCAAGCCTGTCACATTCATAGTTTTGTATATTATAATCTTTCCAGTAGAAAATGCTAAAGAAAACTTAGAAGAGAGTGATGAGTCATATGAGTTAGGAGAAGTTCATTCAGTTGCAGAGGAACCCTTGTTGAAAGAGGTATGCAAAAGAATAGTTTTCTACCTTAAAGTTCATCATAGGTTAAGTTTACACGCGGTATATTAAGCTCTTCCCGTCAAATGCATAGCTATTGGACCTCTACGACCAGTTCAATCGTCAAGCATATTTAGAACTTAAGCATTGCCTTGAGTCTGAGGCATTGTCAGAAATCGAGATACAAATGAGGTACAACTAAATATGTGAAGATATTAAAATTGAGAAAAGATGTGCTTTAACATATGCATGCTCAATGAAAAATTCAATTTTCCAGAGTACGTTGTAACTTATGAAGGAGCCGTAAAATTGCCCTTCATTTATGCTCAGGTACACACTTTAATGATCCTCTTAACTTAAAGAGTTTGAAAATAGTCATAAATTAATTTTAGTTCCTCTTTGTTAAAGGGTATTCCCGAAATCTTGGACGACACTGTAACCACCAAAGAGAAAGGTGTGATAGAACTTCAGTTGGATAGAGACTTTGAACTTACTGTCAGGGGAATTTATTGTTAATCGGGACTTTTAAATTCTTGATTTTCATCAACCAAAAGCCATTGGTGCCATTAGGGACAAGATAGCCCGATATTAATTTATCTGTTTGAGTAAATACTATTTAATCGGAGGTTTCTTATCTTCATGATTTGTAACACCTAATAGTTTCAAATACTATGCAGCGATTAAGAGTTGGAACAAAATGAACCCAGATAAAGGGACAAATTTCTTGCAAACGTTCTACTCTTTGATATAGCTGCTTCACCAATAGAGACCCTTAATGGAAAAGATAAAAGCTAAAAATGATTTGAGACAGAGGAGTGGAAAACTCTCTGGGTGGTTGGAAGAAGACATAAGATGTTATTTTGTTTGGGGGGGGGGGAGAACCAAGAAATGAAATGTAATACGAGTAAACCCCTATGATGGAGGTTGTAATGTTGTCTATGTTTGACTGTCTTTCCTTATTGCAGGTTCCAAGCTACTTAGCAGCTTGTTGGATAGTGAGTCTTACCAGTACTTAAAGAAAATCTGTGATCGTTTGGACACAACCATGGCAGGCGCTGGTGACTATCGCGATGTCTGTTCGTATTATGGTATTGATCGTTATGGGATTGCCTCAATTTATGAGAAGCAGAGGGATGGGCCATCCAGAGCTCTAATCGATTACTTGGCAGCCACACATGAACAGCTAACAGTGGCTGAGTTTGTAACTGTGGTGAGAAAAGTAGCAAAGAGAGGTGATGTCGCAAAGCTGTTAGAGGAGTATGAAGAGGAGTTGTGAGAAAGAATGGCAAGGTTTTTTCATTACCGATAGTGTCATTTTCATTTCTTGTTCTACTAAATCAGTATTTGAGATCGTTGTAATTCTAAAGAGTTGCATTTTCTGATATAAATTTTATGTAGCCTCGGGTACTGAAAAGGACCCAAATTTAAAGGAGATGTCTTGATTAGCATGAATTCAATGTTATCTTCAATTTATTAATGATTTAAATGTTAGAGCTATTTATGTACTTGCAAACGTAAATTTTAGATTACTGATTGTCTTGTTGTTTCACGTTGAATCGTTAACAAGGCAAAAGAGGGCAAACACCTTTTCTACGCTGCTTTGAGGCTAGTTACCTGTTACCTACCGCGAGGACACTGAATCCACCAGATAGTCCTTACCGGAAATGAAATCCCTTCCAAGTAGTTTTTAGATTCTAGTAGTCTCCAATTAAGCGTCGACAAATCAAAACCATAACAACCACACTGGCTAAAAAAAACAACGGTTATCAGAAACCAATGAGAACTTAAAGTAAACGCAGGCAAACCACTTGAAGCGCGAGATAACGTGGGTGTCCGACTTGCGATTGGCTACTTCTTTGCATTTAATTGTTTGGTACGTTAGCGCACCGAACGAAGTAAAGCAAAAAAATAATGCAATCCCATATTTTTTTGACGATGATTAAACTGAACAAAATTTTTTACTTTGTTCTGTTTAGATCTAAGCACCATTAAGGCACTCATTTAAGAGCAATTTTTTTCTCATTTTTAGTTATATTTTTTAAATCACTGGTTAGTTTTTATTTTTGTATACCAGAAACGCTACTTTTTTCGTTTTGTGTCAATGATAGAGTTATGTTACGTATTTAACAGTTAAAGATGTATTTGTGGTCACCCTTGCAAATGTTTCCGTGTTTAATTTGATTTTAAGGGAGCGGAGAGGTCAAACCGCATTAAAAGTTTCATGCAGTAACAAATATTTTCCTTTAACCTCCAAGCTGAATCGTATTAGTTATTCAGCTTTCTAACTGCTAAGAAGTGCTTGGAGTGTCATGTCCGTTTACGTCAATTGTTTTTGCGTTTGAAATCGTTATCGTTATCATATACTATGTCATTTGTCTGCGAGAGTCACATTTTCGTATCTGAAACGGAATTGCAGAAGTTGCATAGCAAGTGTTTTTTCTTTTTCAAAGTCTTTCATTTCTATCCGCCGCTGAGATAAAGATGCAACCCAGACGTTGTCTGACCGAAACTAATTTTGATTGATCTTCCCTAATCCTCTTATTATATTATGAGGATTAATGTCTTCTTAATAGGGAGTTCAAAGAACTAATGATGATATTATGAATAAAAACTATGAGGGTACTTTTTACCTTTTGTTTTCTTTGCAACCAAATCTCTGATTCCACGTTGCGAAGTGTTTGAGAATCCTGCGTGCGAATTTACGGTTGATATCCATGAAGCCTGGAAATATTCGAGTTTTGATTTTTGTGGATTTTCCGGTTGTCCTTAATCCCCATTAATCCCCATAGGAAAAGAGAAAATTTCGCCATTTACCTTCAATTAAACCAGGGTGGATCAAGTGTCTTTCGTATTATTGAGGTCGAAATCGCTTGAAATGCTCATTCATGACTAATCTACCATGTCGCTTTCCTCTCTATAGCTCAACAGGTTAGACAATTTTACAACATCAGGGTTCTTTCCTTGTTCGCGTTGTACTCATCAATATTAATTTCCAGAAATTTGGGCGATCTCGAACCATAATAAGTAGTTTGCTTAAACATACACGTGCTAATTCCCGTCTCGACATGGAGGCGACGTGGGCTGCCGCAACTTCCTGCTTCATTTCTTCACATGCCCATGGCTAAGCTTGGGGAAATTTCTCAACTCTTGATTACAGAGGAATTTGAACGTATCCAAAAAAGCCTTTCATTCCAAATTTGAAGAAAACCTATACGTAAACATGACTTCAAACGCTGCTATAAGTGAGTTATCCACTCATACGAAAATGCTTTCGGACACGTGTTCACACATACTTTTTGCCGCGGGAAATGCTACGGAAAACAGAATGTTCATTGGCGTGTTTAATCAAAGTTGAATATCGCGTTTTTCTGGTGTTAGCCGACCCGTGGTAACACATAGAAAATACTGTGTTACAACAACCTAGAAAATCAGTGGAAACATTTAGGAAAACGGAATGTTAGCCCGGGTAATGCTTGCGCTGAAAAACAAGTGTCGAATATCACCTCATTAACCGCTTCAGGAAAACACTAAACAGACACCGTGATAACCCACGCTGGATAACCGATGTAGAACTGTCAACAAAACACAGTGTACAGATGAGTTTTCCAGGCCCTGGAAGCCCTGTCGTTAACGCTATGTTTTCCCATAGTGAATATGCCACGCGTTCTCCGCAAAAATGAAAACGAAATTTGAACGAGACATTTTCCCGGTATTCACTGTTTGGTTTAATTGTGGGAACGAGGGAATTCTTTTGCCGTGTAACGTTCAAGTTAAATAGATCGACTTCACATGTAGCGTAGCCTCGTGGAAATGGGAGTAAGATCCAAAATTCTCCTGCTTATGGTGTGGACGCGTTTCGATCAGAACTTGGAAATTGAGGGAGGATGTAAAGCAAGGCCTGGTCGAAAGAGTAGAACTGGGTCAAAAGAGAGTTGGTGAGGGTGATTGCGTTCGCATTCAATGGAGTCTTACAAATCCGTGCTAAATTCTGAGATTCTCCTTTCGATTGACTGATACCACCTCCCACCCCTTTTTGTTTCACCGTGTCTTGTTACCGTTGGGATTTCTTTGGGATGACGTCAACTGCCTTATTTTGGCAGTATAAGATTTCCCACATGGTCTAATCCAGTACCAACCGGTAGGCATTTTGCTTGTCAGCATATTTTTAAACATCTCGCTACTGAGCGGAACGAATGAGCTTCTACCGATTCTAATCATTACAAGATATTATTCATGTATCAAAAGTCTCAATTTGTTCAGCAAGATTCGACAAAAAATTAAATGAAGACTGCACCGTAAGTATAGTGTTACTGTTCTTTCAAAAATCTCTTGATCGTTAAACGATTTGAAACCGGCATACTGTGACCTGTCTCGTTACACAGTATCTTTTCATATCTCAAGCTTTGTAACTGTGCAAATTGCTTTACTTGACGAGAGTTTGCTACTTCGGACATAATATCCACGGAAACCTTGCCAAGTCGAGTGGACTGGAGAAGTGCTCCTGAACCATGTGCTCCGTTGGAATATTAACGAAGACCGTAATTATTGCAGTTGTGGTAAGTTCACATTCTGTTTATTCCAGGCTGGCAAAATTCAAGCGATGGATTAAATGCATATTGTTTCATTCAGATAGTTTGTGTTATAACCAGTAGAGAACGACGGAAATAATTATTTCTTGATATTGCTACCTATGACATGTGAGGTAAATTTCATGACATAGACCGGTAGTATTGAGCATATGAGATCGACTTCCCTTTTCCCTTATTTTTCCCTTTGAAATGCTAACTGTATACTGATTACCATGGGATAAGGAAAAAACGCTGATCTGGCGGTAACTGAGGAGGTAGACACTGTTCCAATAAAAGAAAATAAAGGTTCCTTCTTTTTCAGCTCCAAGCAAAAGGAAGAGATTGCTTGGGCTGTAAAGGTGATGAGATCACCTGGCGTAGGGATAAACCAGGAAAGAAAAACACGTGTATACCGTGTATCGATTGCCCGGACGGAACTGAGCCGTCGATTCCTTGCGGAGGGACCGCCAAATATGGAACACACTTACATTGTGAGGCATGCAGGCAAGGAACCTATTCGGACAATTATGGAAAAGGGCCCTGTAAGCCATGCTCTCTATGCTCCGTTGGACGTACAGTGACAAGGAACTGTTCTGCGACGAAGAACGCTCAGTGTGGCTCTTGTAAATACGGCTATTACCAGAAAGTTGTCATCATGAACCTGCTTTTCTATTGCCTTCCGTGTTCTGTCTGCTGTGGGGACGGTAAAGATAAGGTAGAGAAGCAGTGCACAGATCAAGGGCTTCCAAGTCAACAACATTGCAAATTCAGAACCGCGCCCAGCTGTCAACTGTTGCGGACAACTTCAAAGATCACATCGAGCACTCCATTTCTAGGAGCAAATCATACGGCAAAGAAAGGAACAAGCCCAAAGGGACAATCAGAGGAAGCTTCTTCAGTTCCTTCATCAAGAACACCGAAGCCGTATGCAAGAACCACTGCCATAACCGCAAAACGACATGAAAAGTTAGCTGCTTCCCAGTATGGAACAAGTTCAGCCTTAGAAGGATTCCACGGCAATAAATCAAAGGGATCTTTTTCCGATAGAAGTGTCGATATTAATAATGGCAATGGTATTGTCGTTTCTCCTTTGTATGGGATTCCCGTTATTTTCATTGCAATAATTGTAATTGTTCTTAAGCGGAACAAGCTTGCAAGCTTCTTTGAAAGGACGAGGTGTGGTCCTATCCTGAGGTGTAGAGACGCTGAACTCGGTAAACAAATAGAGAGTACTTGGTTGGATGTTGTGCCATTAGGAGGTAGGTGAATTTGCACTATTTTGAACACGGTCAAATGATGGCAAATTACTCAGTCGTTGAGACACTTTCTTAAAGGACTAAGCAGTCAGGACAAAAACGCCGGGGAAGACGGTGATTAAAAAAATTTATATATATTTTTAACAAGAATTTCGTGAATGGCTAGATTTGTGAACTAGTCTTTTGGCGCTAAGCCTCAACTTACGAATAACGTACGTAAACAGTGCTGAGTTCCAAATGGAAACTTAAATAATTTTTTGTCGAGGCTTCCGTTATCAGCTTTGACTCGTCCTTGGTGCAGTCGCTTTCGTAGTTTGCTTTAAGTCCCATTTTTGTGCCGCCAGCCAGAATTATTGGCGGAAAGTGCCATTTTTGTACCGCCAGCCAGAATTATTGGCGGAAATTAGACCTTTAATATCAATCTATAGGTACAGCTGTTTCATGTTTAAGACACAGATAATGACATAGATTGCTAAAAGCGAGGAGTGGTGAACATGTGCTTTGTGTACGACTTGACAAAACGGGTTTCATTTCAATTATCAATTAAATGCTAACAGTGTAATATTTTCG